CCTAACACACATGTGGGATATAAAAATAATTTTCCCCAGCTTTGTCTTCCCCAAAGAGATGCCAAACATTAGAGGCTGTTTGCCAGCACATGGTGGGAGGTCAGATGCTTAGAGATATTCTCCCTGAAGGCATTCGGCCATCAGACTACTGTCTGGTCCCTGTAGGTGGGGCTCACCTACTGATAAGGAAAGTAATGGTTTCCATGGAGAGCCAGAGAAGCGGTCAAACCTGCTCAGTGACATCCAAAGTTAGGCTGCCATCCTGAATCTAGGATCTGCCCATCTTGTCACATGTGTGCCCCAATCCCTTCCCTTCCTATTGCATGTATACCCCTAGATCGTCCCCCTCTCATTACTGTATTGCCTATAGCACAACCCCGTCCTGTGATGTATGTCTTTACCTGTAATTAGGGGTCTTGCATACCTCCAAAAGATACATAAGCCTTGCTCTCTCGCTCCTGCAATTCCCACCTGCCACATCCTCATGTGGACCACCAAGCGGGGCTGAGGTGAGCATGCTACCATGAAATGTGTCTGACTCCTTTATTTCACTCTCTTTTATCTCTCTTATTCCCTGTGACTTTACTATAATCTTTACATATTATTGCTGTACAGTAGCGCCTGCCGGGCCTGTGATGATTTGTTAGGGGCTGGCTCCCCTGACACCAGATGGCCTATTGAGCACTAGTGGCACAGTAGGCTATGCACTGAGCTGCTTGCCACAAGGTCTTCAGTTCAAACCTACCCAGTCACTCTTGAGAAGAAAGATGAGGCTCTTTGTGCCTGTAAAGATTTTGGAAACCCTTCAAGGGCAGGTCGACTCTGTCCCGTAGGATCACTCTGAGTCAGAACCGACTCAATGGCAGTGAGTTTGGGGACCAGATGCAACTCAATTGAGAAAGCTCCAAATATAAGAGTCACCCCGGGTGACGGCCACCTCTCCAGAGCCCAGGCAGTCTGAGGGACAGGAGCCCAGAGAGCCTGGCTGTAGAATGTGCTGGAGGGCTTCCATGAGGAATGCTGTTTT